CAGGCATTCAAATACAACGTGCATACCGTATAAAATGACATAACTTCAAATATAAATTACATGATATAATACTATGTCAAATCCATTTGAGAAGGAAATGCTATTAAAGTAATATTAATGCAAGTTTTGGAAATCACATTAATTTCGCTTAACATTATCCATGATAATGAAAATTCACTTTAAACAGGATTCGACATACATGTAGTATTTTATGTAAAGTTATGTCATTTTATCCGGTATGAACGTTGTATTCAAATATCTGTAAAACGTATCCGAAGCTAAGTATGCACACACATACAAATAAATTGTTTAATTGTTAATTATTAAATAATCATTTATATTTATTCATTTATCTCATTATATTTTAAATGTCAAACATACAAAACAATTGATATCTAAAGTAAAATTATCTTATTATTATAAGTATTATTTATAACCACAATTTATATATAAAGAATGTGCTTATACTGTATTCGACAACCCCATCCCCACGTCCTCCAGCTTTATGGGATTTAACATGGAATTACAGCTTAAGTCTATGACTATACTTAAACATGGGCTAATGTTATTCTATGTGCTAATGTTAATCCTATGGGTAATGTTAATCATATGAGTAATGTTAATCCTGTATGAAATTATTTAATATGGGAAAGCGAAATCTCAAGGGAAAGTATAGCTTTTCTCAATGCTAATCCTATGGGACTATGAGAGAATTCTTTTCAATGGGATTTCTATGGGCTCACAGCTTAAGTTTATGACAAAGGTTTAACATTATTAATGCTAATCCTATGTACAATGTTTAGTCAATGGGACTAATGTTAATTTATTAAAGCATCACCCGAATTGTGGTTAACCTATAGATATCACAGTGTGAACCTTGTTATTTTTATTTTACGTTACTAATTAGAAATTTATAAATAAACCGAGTATGTGTCATTTATTCTACTAATTATAATTTAATAAATATTATAATACAGTGATTTATTATAATTAAATTATTTGAATTCGAAACATGAATATATTCAATCAAATATTAAAAAGACCATGTGATTCAATGATTATAATAATTGGCTCATTTGGATTTATAACAAGTTTTATTTATTTTGTTTTGTCAATTATATTTGTTAATTTTCATTGTCTACCATTTGCTTTATTATCGGGTAAATAATTATAATTTTTATATTTATTTTTATCTCTTTCTATAAATTCGAGTTTACGAGCGGAGGGGTACCACATGTTGGGCGCATTCATTTCTAATGTGCAAATTCTGTTGGATGAGGTCATATAAAGAAATTAAACACAAGTATCTCGGGCTGATAGCCAGAAACGACCGAGATATGGTCATTTTTGTGATCGCGCTCATACGGCGTATAGCATGCAGTACTGGTAGGGTGACCAACTGTCCTCTATTTAGAGGACAGTCCTCAATTTGGCTATATTTTAAATAATGTACCCTTATGGTTTACTATGAAAATCAATGTTAAAACTTGTGTCCTCTATTTGTCATAAATTTTTATTGTATGTTTTCCCTTTTGTCCTCTAAAACTCTTTGTAATGTCCTTTTTTCCAAAATGGAAGTTGGTCACCCTAAGTACTGGTGATTAGCCCAAGCACTGTATGAAACATCAATGCTATACGGCTTATACGTTGAATTGCAAAAATTGTCATATCTTTGTCGTTTCTATCGGTCTATCAGTCCGAGATACTTGTGTGTAAGTTTTTTTTAATATAAACTCATCTAACTGATTTTGCACATTAGAAATGAATGCACGTTCAACATGTGGTGCCACTCCGCTCGTTAGTAATAATAACTGAAGAAATTTACAAAAAATTCTTTTATAGTTTGAATATATAATACATAAAGACATCAAATTAGTGCAAGATCGTAATACAGTATTAGTAATTTATTTCATTTTCTCTAATTTTTGAACATGATAAGATTACAACTTTAGGTCATCAAAAGTACATTAAATAATCGGAACTAAATTTTAGTTCCGATTATTGTTTTGTTTAGACCAAATAAAGTAATTTGTTTATTAATACTCATTATTATTCGATTGTAACGAACATTACACATCATTATAAAACTAACTATTAATTGCAAGTTGACAATTAGACTGCAATTTAAAATTGATTTACCTGATTTGACTATGTTAAAATCACGTTAAACTGTTTCTGTTGTATATAATCAAACTTAGACATTTAACACAGGATTTTAGTGCTGAGAATGTTTTCTAAAATGCTGACGAGCCCTGGTTAAATTAGTCCAGCGACCAATGAGGGCAATGTTAATTGATGGCTTATTAATTTTGAAATATAGATATAATAATATGGTCACACCCATTTTTAATACGACATTTTAAATTAACAAAAAGTTACCGTATGAACGTTTATAAATTATAATACTGAATTTCTAAGTGATACATATTCTTTATACTGTAATTTATATTATAAAGTACAGTACAATATAAGCTCTGACAAATAAATGCACAAATTGACTATGTACATAATAAATTGAATAAAATTTTAATTTGTTTTTAGTTTTTAATTAAAATCATGATATTATTTTATTTAGTTTTGTTGTCATCTTTGGTAATACATGTATCCGTTTTATCATTTCGTGAAAAGATTGGAGAAACTGTCAATAAAACTATGTTAACTCTTATGTTAATTTTATCAACTTTTATATTGGTTTTAATCATATTCTTTATAATTGCATATTCTTCGTTAGCCATAAGATATATGAAAGGTATAAATATCTTGAGTATATTGTATTAATTACTTAATCAATTATGTTAATACATTTTAGTATATGGTTTTAACAAAGTTAACACAACATCGTTGGATAGATCGTCGCCACCAACACTACGGGACAATTATTGGCCGGTAATCACGTGTTTGGCTTTGATATTGTTATGGCTAATACTTATCATTGATTTATCGAGAAAACAATGCTTTAAATTATCAAAAACTAATAGAGATATAAAAACCATTTCTGCCGATAGAAATCAATCAATTGTTAGTTATTATAATTATTGATGTTTACTAGTTATATCTGATACAGTGCAACTTCTCCATAAAGAACGGCCAGTTGCACTGCAAAAGTGTTCCCTATAGAGAGGTATAGAAAATCCAAAATATATTTTAAATCCGTTCCTTTAAAGGAGGTGTTCCCCCAAGAGAAGTTGCACTGTATTACCATATTGTAGATGTTACAATATATACTGTTAAACCTTGTATCTTAGACTTGTTTAGAATAAGAATGACTCTACAACTAAAGGATTCTTAAATCGAAAGTATAAATATCCATAGTAATGTTACGAATGTCGTAAATTGTATTCATGAATATTCTTATTTACTTAAAATTACTATTAATTGTTATTAGATTTAATATTTTTGCTTAAAAGTATCATGTCTTTTATACAGTGGTAGACTAATTCAGTAGTAGTTTTAATATACCTATTTGTTGCACTCATTCGCACTCATTATGTATACACATTATACTTGTAAATGATCATGTTACATTTAACAATTATTGTAAAATTATGTATAAAACTGTATGAATGATAAACTGATGGGCAGAATGAGTTTTTGAGAGCATAGGAATAGTTGGTTAGGGTTTAGAGTAGAGACTCTATTTTAAACATGAAACTTTTCTATATTTTAGTTTATAATTAGTTTTAAGTTAATTAAATGTTTTTTATATAAATTAATGACTTTTTATTTAAATACTTTATTAATCTGTATTTTTAGTCATATTTTACAGATCAGTCGACCAGGAGTCACGGGGACAAGTACCTAGGTACTCTGTGAACTCCCGGATCGTAACAGTAACGCTAGTGTTTACATATTTGTATTTTGTATTATGGATTGATATTATACAATACATATTTGTATTATGTCATAATATTATTTAGAAAGAGATTTATTACTACCAAATCTTTACCTTTGAAAAATACTTTCTAAAAATACTTTCTAATTAATGTTGATTGGTCACTATATCAGTTCACACTGTTTGATTGGCTTTAACCTTGGCGCATAATATGAATGTAAAAAGGTAAAGGATGTATATTTATTACCTAAAGCTTAAGAAAGATTTTAAAATGACAGATATTTAAAATATTTAAGGTTATTGTTTTAGCTTACTGTAGCTGCATAGTGCATATTCAATTTTAACTTATAATTTATAATAGATTGTGATTATAATTTTTCACAACGTATACTTTTTAGCAATAAACTGTAACTTACAATAAAATACAGTACATACTGTATGTATTATTTAAAAGAATTTTTTTTAAATTGCTTTGATTTTTAAAATTAATTTCTATTAAAACAAAACTTGAAATAACAATATAACAAATATGATATTGTATGAGATATTTTTATAAATAAGGTTATCACATTTATTTCAATAATTGCATTAAGAATTAAAAACTAATTGTGTCTTTAAAACAATATTATTTATTTAAACAACTATAATTAACTTTCAAATTTACAATTAAAAGTAAATACAATATAATATACATATTGTATATTACTACATATTATGATACATGTATGTTTGAGTACAGTATTATACATTGCGTCTGCCTTAATTAATCAAGAATATTTTACTGCCAGTCAAACATATAAGCCCGATTTAATGAATTAATGAAATAGTCAAGTATCGTTATAACTGCTTAGACTTAAAAAAGTTTGGTTAATGTTTTCGCTGTTTAAATGGTTTGTTGTATTGGAAAAACACAACGAGAGTCCCAATGCTTCAAAGCATAAGAAGTGAGCCCTTCTCTTATAACTGAGTTCAAAATGTTGGCTGAATATGAATTCTTGGTTCTCACTAATCACTAATTATAATAACTAAACTTACTGTATAAATACAAAATATTAAATTTAAATATGTATAGATAATTATTCTTATTTGATATAAATATTAACTAAATAGATAACATTATAAAACAATTAAATATAAATTTGGTTGAATTATGAAGCAAGTGATTGTTTTATGCGACCACACAATCGTGATTTTCGCACATTTTGCGTCCGGCTTCTACTGCTCGTCGCCTCAGACCTTCAATGTACACCTGAAATATGTTTTATTCATCACATTATTATTATATTTAACTTATGTTAACATATTTGTTAAGAATAATAAAAATAAATTAGCAGATAAAAAATATAATTTAAATACTGTACAGTTAATGTTAGACACTTTCCGCCTAGGTCGAATATATTCCGGAAATTAATTTTTTTGGGGAAAAGATATTGGGAAAATAAGAATCTTCCAAAGTATCTAACATTATGTACAGTATATGTAACAAATTTTTATATACAAAATAAATTTCAAGGAATATGTCAGATTAAGTTGGCAAGCCTATTTATTAGTTTATTAAAGGATGTTACTATTTATCAAAGAATACTTAAACAAATATAATTTAATAACAGAATTATATGAACAATGATTAGAGACTGAATCGCAGGTTAAATATAGAAAAAAGATGTTAAACCTCTCTATTAAATAATCCAAGATTGAGGGGTATGTCATCTCTGCCATGTCTTATCTGAGCCTCAAACAGAGCGAATACAGGCTTGTGATCAGATGTTTGAAATGTTGGCACACTTTTGTACTGGTAATTAATTATATGTCCCAAACGTTTAGTTCTATAGAGTATACGATCGGTAAAAGAGGGAACTCTTTTCAATACAGTCTCGTATTGATCTGAATTGAGCTCAAACTTATAGGTCGGAGCGAACATCACTTGAGACGCCTCTGCGAAGCCCCTAAAGAGTGTCGATTTGGCCATAGATTGAGTCAATTGATCGAATTCAAGCAGATTGTCGTACATCTCATCGCACTCTACAGATGACAAGTAATGGCAAACGTCTTCACGCTTTGAATCGAGTCTGAAGTTGAGGTCTCCGAACCAAAAGACACAATCGAAACGTCCCGAAACATCACTCGTTATGTATCGGCTTTTGAGTAGAGAATAATCTTTGGGTAAATTAATACTCGTAATAATCTTCTCGTATTCTTCAACTCTGCGCTCACATTGGCTTTCGTGGGCCGGAAAGTGAGAGTTTATGAATAGGAATGAAGTGCCAAATATGCGAAACGACACTCCAATTGCCCCCTTTGTCTTCAGCATAGGTATAGCGCACGGACTGCGGCTGTTATATGTCTCGTCCTCTGGTATCGACAAATACCATATCAAAAACCTATCGTTCACAATAATTGCCAATTTTAATGCACATTTTCATTTGCAATTTTGCTTTATTCCACTACATTTTTATATGCTTTATAGTAACACTTTGATTGATAATAATTAACTTATATTCTGGAATAACTTGCATGAATATTAAAAATATATAATAAGTAATATATAGTATTTCATGTTATACATGTTGTACTTTTCTTATTATTAGGTGAGCCGATAAAGAGCGAGAATGGGGGTCTTGCAGTGTAGGTAGAATTATGGATTTAATTTTATCATTTATGTTAACATTCATAGGCATCGGGATTCGAATTTTATCAAAATCGAATAATTACTAACACAGCAATTTGTTGAATAAAGACAGGCAAAATAATATATTTTTATGGGAGGTATCAGTTTTCGTATTTACCGACGTTTGAAATTGTAGTTAAATGACCCATGCTCAAACAATAACAGACACCATACAAAACACTTACTCTTCTGAAATCTAAAGTTTATATTATAAAAGGAATATAACTATAATCTATTGAATTGCATTATTCGATTGCAACATTAACTGGTATTAAAACTGTGAACATTTAGTAACCCATATTTTTCGTTTTGATTAATTTATTATTATTTTATCATCAATTTACTAATTGATTGTACCAATCCAATTAAAACAAATTCAAGTTTTGTATATAAACATGTTATCCCAACTTGACAACAAATGTTGTTAAATAGTTGTCTGCAAGATTTTATATAAAATTAATTAATTTTAATATCCCACTTATTAAAATAGGTTTTTAATATTAACTAATAAACAAATTAATAATGAGACTTAAATGTTATGTTATGTAATAAACTAACATAATGTTGACAATGAAACACGTTTGACAAACCTCTTGACAAAAATACAGAGATGAAGGGCTCCGTGAGTGGTCGAGTGATAGAGCAGATGCGAGGGTCCGATTGTCTTTTGCAAATCGATTTCCCACTCCTTAATAGCGTTGCCCTGAGGCGCCTCTTGGATGCCAAACACCAACACGTCCGCCACAAACACTACACTTTCCGGCAATGCTATCGGGTTTAGATCTGGCGGTCCGTTATTACTGTTCATATTCCACGTCACTATATATATACTGACTCTTCCCTCCGGCAAATAATGATTTAATTCATCCGATCGTAATAATGAGCCCTTTTTCATATCAAATTAAATATACATTATTTTGTCAATCATTTATCATATAATATACAATATAATAATTTTAGAGATATTGATAATTAAATAACAATTATATCACTTAAACTTTCAATATCAATTCATTAATATAAATCTATCAATATGAACAGTAATAACTAGATTATAAAATAACACCATAATAAATTAAATTAAGTTTATATATCATTTACATAGACATTTAGAGTTAAACCTAAAAGTGCTTTTGATACTCGAGTATCTAATGTGTTCTCTCTATTATTCAGGATATTTAAGATAATTACGGAAATAATAATTGGATTTTATTTCAACATACATAGTATTGATATACCAGTAAACATAACGTAGTTATCACACTGTTTACTAATTATTTAGTGCACATTAATTAGTGTACATAATATAGCCACTAATCTATTTATATATAGTATAAAAGAATAATATTCTAATTTATATTATAATAATATTGTTATAAATAGAATTAAGTAGATATTTACATGATAACCATTGGGCAGATTTCTAGCTCTGGCCTCAGATGCCAATACAGGCTTATAATAGGGAAATACCGATGAACTTAAGGTATCAATTGATGCATCAATCGTACTGTCAGTGTCCAGAGAGCTGTTATTTATAAGACTCTCACTCTCCGCATTAATCGACATTTTACATGATATATTAATTCATTAATAAGTTAACATTTAATAATTTATTAACATGTACAAGTTATAATAAATTTAGTTATAATAGATAATTTAATTTAAATAAATAATTATAAATAAATAATTATAAATAAATAATTATAAATAAACATAATTTTATATTATTCAAGTTGCGTTAAATATATATACATTAAACTGTATATAATGTGCAAAATTTTCTGTTTAAATAATAATAAACGAAATAAAAATCAAAGGCTTCCACGCAATGCCTCCGACATTGCAAGTTAGATATCCACGCACTCTCTCTCTCTCTCTCTCTCTCTCTCTCTCTCTCTCTCAGTCGTAATTGTCTTTTGTTGTGATCGACAGACCATTTCTGCCGTTTATAATCTGAATTCTCACACACACACACACACAAACACACATTTATTTATTGTTACATATAGTAGTGTATGTGCTGGGTAACATACTGATTAATAATTTATTAATATTAAATTTAGTTTTAAGTTAATACATTAAACATAATATAATTAAGTTTAATTATTAAACCTATTAATTAGCATTATTATTAGACAGTAAATTATTTCTTACGTTTGATAAATAAAATTTAGTAAATAAAATTTTTAATGATAAATATAAAAATAAAATAAAAAGGCTACGATAGCAAAACAATAAATTGACTTCAATAGGGTAAATGCATCAAAAAATCAAAATTAAGACAACTCACACACAGCAATGCTATACGTTAACCACAGTTCGGGTAATGCTTAAAGAATAGATTATGAGTTCCATAGATTAACATTACTTATAAACTAACTCGTCAGAGAATTTAATAAATGTCTTCTGTTTTATATTATACGTGTTATATGTAATATAATATAATTATACATGTATATTTATTTTGTGCTAAAAAATTATATTTTTAATTCTTATGTTTTATCAAATTATAATTATTTTAATAAAATTATATTGAAATGAAAAAGATGAGATTTAAGAAGACAATGTCCAAAAATGTCTAAATAAATGAGAGTTGGTTACCCTAGAATTAACATTGCCGTTAAAAACTATTATTTCCGTTGAGATTTCTACAGTTTTCTACGTTTGTATTTTCCATATAAAAAATTCTTATAAGGTTAACATTAGAACGGGTATATGCTATAACATGCTTAGAAGTTTATGCATGTATTGCACTTATTGCGTGAATTCATTGTGTTAAATGCATTGATATCTTAAAATCAAGTAATTTATAATTTATATTAAATAAATATTAATTAAAACTTATTATAAATTCTATAAAGTCAAATTACTACGAATTCAATTCAATAAGTACATAACATGCATAATCTTCTAAGCATGTTATAGCATATATCAGTTCATTATCTATAAAATAGCAATATTCCCATAGGATTTTTATAAAACTCACTCATGTGGTCGAGCTATGAGCCAAAACTGATTTAATCACAGGAAGCGGATATTGTGTTTAACAATAACTCAAACCCAATAAGTGGTCAATTGTCTCCTCCGAGTTATTCAACATTTCACTGTCTAAGGACGGCTTCACACCATATATTATAATATAATATTAGATATTTAAACCAATCACTTAATAAATAATACAATTATATTTGGTTAAAAATTTATTATATAAAACAATTAGTCATTTATTTAAAAATAACAGTTACATGAATTATAATATAACTCATATTATGAGTTATAACAATTATATAAATTATAGTTACTATCTTATATAAAATTACAGTTATAACATAAAATAATACTAAACTTTTATAAATTATTATATTGATTCACAACTAAACATCACTAATAATTTAATGATTATATAAAAACTTTGTTAAAAATAATATTATTTAATGCTTTAATGCTAAATATTTGCAGAAACAATATCTTCTGGCGAATTGATTATTAATACAAACCGATTGATTGCCGTATTTATTAATTCTGGAGACATCGCCCACAATAACCATATTTTTAGTCTCGGTATTCATATTGACTGTTGCCTCGAATAAAGCATTACTCGGTTTGACGGCAATAGTGACCAAAAAATGCTTAGATTTTTCTTCAATTTTATTTTTATTATATACGACATGTCTTCCGATAACATCATTCAAACTCTGTTCAAATTGTAAAACCTTTTCGCTTAAGTGTTGTTCAAATGCACTGATAGTACGGTCGAGAGTGAGTTCAACACATTTATCACTAAAATCTTTCGCTAATATTTGGTTGATATGATCGACAATGAAGAGTGAAATGGGTTTAATTTGATGCAAGTCTTGAACAGCTTGACTGGATTGACACGAACACCAGTGCTCTAATACGGGTATACTTTGACAACTCCTCTCTTCAGGTATTTCCTGTAACAATGACTTCCCATACTTAAGAGTGGTGTCGTGTTTACCCGTTATTATATGTCTAAGTGTTGCGTGAATATCAAAAGGAGTGGTCAATCGGTTTTGATTCATATCCAGAAAATTATTTCGCATTTTGTTGGGAACATAAATATGCATAAAAGGCATCCTTTCTTCAAGTTTTCCCGAAAGAGTTTCCCTAATCTTTCCAAACCTTATTCCGTGGTCTGAGAAGAAAACAACTAATGTATTGATTAATAAGTTTTCTTCAAATAATTTATTGAACAAATTATAAACCATAGGATCGGCAAAACCGGCGCTATTGATGTTGTCGTGTGTGAGTCGAGCCATGAATGTAAACGCAAAATATCTTTCATTTCTTGAATCCATTGCTTTTGTGAAGTCATAAATATAGTCGTAATAATTCTATCCATAAAATTACATACATTTATTAAATAACATAATATTTTTAAATTTATAACATTTATATTAATATCAACATTTTATTAACTAGTTAGCAATGTAAGCAAACAAAGCATACTGGTATAATATAATTGTAATTCAAGTTATATAATATTAAAGTAAAAACTNCATAATATTTTTAAATTTATAACATTTATATTAATATCAACATTTTATTAACTAGTTAGCAATGTAAGCAAACAAAGCATACTGGTATAATATAATTGTAATTCAAGTTATATAATATTAAAGTAAAAACTCAAACTAATTTAAACGGACCTCTTTTTGAACCTCATTGAACTCTTTTTATATTTCCCTAATTGTTAATTAAATTTTTAAATTTATGTAAAAATAATTATTAGGTAAACATTAAACCAAAATATCATGTATGTTTGCATAATAATACTACAATTAATTAGCGCCCATTTCAGTATAGACTCATTTGAAATTAAATCTATGATATCTGATCTATGTCTCCTAATATAATCTAAATTATTAAATTGATTTTAATTAAATGCTTCATTAATTTCTTTAATACTATTTAACAATTACTTAGTGCATACCTCAATCTCAGTTTTATCAAGGTAACAATCGTTGTGAACATCTTTCTCAATTGCCAGACTAAACGGCCTTAAATAGTAATCAGTTGGCGGTTCATCAAAGCCTATTTTTAGATAATTAAACGTGGCTATATCCGGCGCATCTTCCATTAACAGTGTATTATAGCCTCTTTTACTGT